GCCCCCCCCCCCCCACACACACACACAACTGAGCTGTGCAAGGGAGGGCAGGTAGTGGTATGGGGTTGAGTCTGGGGTAACATCTTTCTTGTCCCCGGGCAGGTGCAGCAGGAAGGTGCTGGCTCTGAGCATGTTGACCACTACACACAGGGTCAGGGGCTCAGTGGGCAAGGTCTCTGTGCCCGGGCCCTGTATGACTACCAGGCAGGTAAGGTGCCCCAGTCCAGCCACCACAGACAAGAGGTTAGGAGACAAGAGGGTCTGGGGTTTGGGGGAGGGGGCTGGGATGGTGGGAGACAAATTTGGAAGTGGAAGCACCTCTGGAGTAGGGATAACCATGGCTCTGGAGCTTCTGTCTTGCACAGCCCAGGCCTCCCTGTGTGCTCTGGGCAGCTACTCGCTGTCCACTGGTGTGAATCCCAGTTGCCATCTTGTTGTACAACCTGGAGGTATGACCAGAGAGGTGGACCAGGCCTGGATGCTGGTTCCCCAGAAGTCCCTGGATGGGGAGCAGGCTGGCAGGTATTTCCTCCAGCCTTTTGCAGAAAGCTCTGTAGAAAGGTTGCCCTGGGAGAGTGGCCGCTGCAACAGCGTCACAGGGTGCAGCCCTCGCAGGCAAAGGCCCAGCGGGATGGCAGTGGCCTCAGTGAGCCCTACTGTCGGAGCAGTGGAGCTGCTGGGCTGCCAGAGTAGGTGGGGTGGGGGTCGTAGAGTCCTGACACAGCACCTGAGCTCACCCTCCTTGCAGCTGACGACACAGAGATCTCCTTTGACCCTGAGAACCTCATCACGGGCATCGAGGTGATCGATGAAGGCTGGTGGCGTGGTTACGGGCCAGATGGCCACTTTGGCATGTTCCCTGCCAACTACGTGGAGCTCATCGAGTGAGGCTGAGGGCCGTCTTTCCCTCCCCACCCAGATGTGGCTTCCTTGTTGCTGGAAGAGGAGGCCTGAGAGTTGATGTTTGGCACTCTTCCAGGAATGGGACCCATGATGAAGATGAGGCCTCAGGGCTCCCTCTGGCCTGGGTGGCTCAGTCTCTGTCACCCCACATGCAGCAATAACCTGGCGATTCCCAAACATGCTTCCTGCAGCCCCCCAGATCCTCCCAGCCAGCCTGGCCCTTGTCCCCAGAAGGATATTAGCCAGGCCCCGCCTGCGGCCAGCCCCTTGGTGACTTCCACCAAGGAGAGCAGCCACTGGCAGGCTGGGGGATCTTAGCAGGGCATCTGGAGGCACATCCATGCTCCAGGCTGCCTCCTGCATTTGCCTTTTTTCTTTTTCTCTTGCTTCTAAGGGGTGGTGGCTACAGCTGTTTAGAATGGACCCTTGGGAACAATGAACTTAGAGAATTGCTCTTAGCAGAGTTTATGACCAAAGTTAGAGTCAGAGTGGATCTGTCAGTCTTGACAGCAGGTAGGTCGTCTGGGAGCCTGCTCTGTGCTCCCCGCTCCATTTCCCTATCCCTCTGCCTGGCTGTGGGAAGTGGGGACCAGATGACCCAGCTCCTGTCTCTGGGTTTGTGAAAACAACAGCAGACACAGCATGTCCTTCGGTGTGGCTCACTGTCTGCCGGCCCCCGTGTGCCTCATGCTGATTCTGGCTTCAGCAGGGGTCTTTGTCTGCTGCCCTCTCCCAACCCCCTTCCATCCCCCAAATTTTCTGTCCTAGCCCATCTGAAGAAGAAACCTGCTTTTGGTCTAAGAATTGCAGTTTGGTCCCCACAGGCTCCCAGCTCTGACCTGCCCTGCTGTAGCCTGAATGCTCCCATGTGGAAGCCAGCTCTGTGCCTGGGGTGTGCACGTGTGTGTGCACGTGGGTGTGAGCACACAAACCCTCAGACCACCGCAGCCGCTGATCTGCCACCTGGAGGGGCATAAACTTTAGGATGTGACTGAAGTTGGAGCTATCCTGCATTTCAGTTCCTCTGGGAGAGACCAAGGGCCACCCCGCTCCCTGCCTCAAGGAGCCTCTGCCCATGCGCAAGTGTGGAGTGAGGTGCCTGGCACCCACCGAGCCCCAGGGGAATTAGGTCCCTCATGTGCCCCAGGAGGTGCTAGGCAGACATGCTCGACTCCCATCTTCACATGCTAGCCGCCTAGGGTGGAGGCTGTGCTGAGGGCTCACATTCCACCTGCTCCTCAGGCCTCTCCCATTTCTTGCCAGCATGTCCTAGGCAGGCCCACCCCAGCTGTAGAGGCCCCATGAGTCTGGGGTGTTGCTAGCTTTCAAGCCACCTGCAGGCTTGTCTGTCCCTGGGGCTCAAGGTGCCACTCTGGGAGTTGCAGGGACAGCTGGCTGAAAGCAGTGTCCTGGCTGTGGTCCTTGTTCCCTGTGGGGAGGGCTGGGTCACTCGGGCTCTTCTCCCTAAGTAGCCCCAAGCACCCTGATTCTAGAGCAGGGTCACCATAGGGTCTTGTTTAGAGTGCAGATTCCTGGGGTGGACACAGCTCCTGGTGACATGGGTTTGGGGGGATAGCTGTGCCTCTGTTCCCTGAGGTCCCTACAGCTAATGGTGGGGGCGAACTGGGTAAGCTGCCCTGGCCACGCTGGACTCAAGGCACTGGGAGGAGGTGTCTTTATTGCCCCAAGCCCACCCCTCACTTGGCCTTGCCCTGGGCCGCCACAGCCTCCATGGCCTTCCGCACTGTCTCCTCGTCACCCAGGAACCGCATGGGCTTGGTGGGTTTCAGCGCCTGGTCCAGCTCATATACAATGGGGATCCCTGTGGGCAGGTTCAGCTCCATGATGGCCTGGTCTGACATCCCTGTGTGGAGAAGCAGGCATCCTCAGCCCCTCTGTCCCCAGCTTGTCCACACAGCAGACACCATGGCCATTGTGGGCCACAGAGCCATCTGCTTGCATCAACCCTTCCAGTCCTGGGAGCAAGGCCACAGAAAAATACCTAAAGGTCAAGGCAAGCAGCCTACAGAAATAGCCCAGTGATAAAACTAGGACCTTGTCCCCGCCCTAGTGGCCGTGACCTTTGGTGGTGCCATCCTTTGACTCCTTGGTCTGACATGAACTCTGGCCAGACTGAAGTTGAGGTTTGGAAACACATTAGCTGTTTGGTTTCTAGAGTGTTCTAAATTGTAGACATCCTGAGAAAAGGAGCAGGTGAGGAGAAAGATTGAGGGGAGGCCATGTCTGTGGAAACCCGACCCAGCCTGCCTCCTACAGCCCAGTGCCAGGAATAGCAGCTTGACCTTTGGTATTCACGCCCCCCTCCCGCTCCATGCAGGAGGGCTTAAGAGAATGTTCTCTATGGTGTCAGGGATACCCCAGCTCCTACTGAAATCCTGTTACATACATCGTGCTGCATCCTCTTCCCCAAGACCAGGCTGTGAGAGGCCCCCAGGAAGCAGGGGCGTGGGGAGTCGGCATCGTGGGGGAGGGCAGACGCGGGCTAGCCAGTCCAGGGCCTGGCGGTCTGTGTGCTCTGGCCAGCTGCCTGTCGGCCCCTGGGAGCGGGAGATTTGGGGCACACCCCACTCCCTTCTTGCCTTTCCTTGATCTCAAGCTTGAAGGCCATTCAAGTGCTAATTTTGACTTTCTGGGTTTCTGAGAGTCCTCAAGGCCTATCTAAGGTGGAGATGGTGAGGACCCTGTCACCGGGAAGGGCCTCCCCACGCCCATGCGCGCACAGGCCCATTTGTCCCCTCTTTAGTAGGATGGGGTCTGGCTGCTCCATACCTTTGCGCCCTTCTTTTGACTGGTCTTACCTTTGCCTGGAGGGGTGTGGGGAGGGAGATGGTGGGATGGGAGCTGGGTTTCTGGGGACCTGAGGGGCAGTGGGGCCCAAGGCCCCCATTAGGAGGCATACTGGGAGGAGCCCATGAGCTCCCCATAAAGGGTTGAGGTCCCATACTGAAGTGGCTTGTCCAGGATCCCACAGCAAACCCGGAGTCGGAGCCAGATGCCCTAAGTCTCAGCCCTCTTCCAAGCTGAATGTCCTTGGGCAAGATGCCACCCTTGGCACCTGCTCCACCTCTGACCATGGCGGGCTTCAAGTGCGATCCATCCCTGGGGAGGGAACCCAGGTCTTCACCCACAACCTTCAGAAGGAAATGGTCTACCTAGTGTCCCAGTGTTCACAGAAATGAGACAGAAGTCTCAGAAAACTTAAAAAAACGGTTTCTCAGCCCTCCCATTTCAATCCACAGTTTGAAAACCCACGTCTGCAAAGCTCCCTCAACCAGGGAGTGGGTACTTGGCTGAAAATAAGAAGTTGGGCCATGGCCCCCACTGCCCTCTCACACCCTCCTGAGGGTGGGCCTCACCTTCCAGATGCTTGACGATGCCCCGCAGGCTGTTCCCATGGGCTGCGATGAGCACTCTTTTGCCGGCCTTGATCTGGGGGGCGATGTCCTCATTCCAGAAGGGCAGGGCCCTGGCGATGGTGTCCTTGAGGCTCTCGCAAGTGGGCAGTTCCCCCGGCTTCAGGCCTGCGTAGCGACGCTCCTGGGGGACATAGGGACAGTGCTGTTCCCTCCTTAGGCAGCTGGCCCCCCACCTGGGCTCCCGTCCCCACAGCCTCCTGGAGGCCTTCCCTGTGGCGGCCCACCTTGCTGATGGAGCTATAGTAGGGGTGCTTCTCATCCATGGGGGGCGGCGGGATGTCAAAGGAGCGTCTCCAGATCTTCACCTGCTCCTCGCCATGTTTGGCGGCTGTCTCTGCCTTGTTGAGGCCCGTTAGGCCCCCGTAGTGCCGCTCATTGAGGCGCCAGGTACGCACCACGGGCAGCCACATCTGGTCCGTGCCATCCAGGATGGTCCAGAGGGTGCGGATGGCCCGCTTCAGCACCGACGTGTAGCAGATGTCAAACTCCATCTTGGCGTCCCTGATGGCCTGGGCTCCCCGCTTGGCCTCCTCGGCCCCCTTCTCACTCAGCTCTGCATCAAACCAGCCGCAGAAACGGTTCTCCTGGTTCCACGTGCTCTCGCCATGCCGGACCATCACTAGGCGGTGGGAGGCCATGACAGCAGCGGGACACGGGGGCTCTGGATGGGATGGCTGCCTCCCGATCACCCCAGTTTTATAACAGCATCCCCAGCCCCCACCCCAGCCAACTGCCAATCAGCATTCCAGGCACAACAGGCAGCAGCAGGTGGCCAGTAGCAGAGCTGCTGGGAGGGGCAGACCAGGGAGTTGGACTTAAATAGCCCCCACAACCAGCCGTCCCCGCCTGGGCTTGAGTGACAGGTCCACACCAGCTGGCACCCAGAGCCTGAGCTGGTGGGGCTGCCAAGTACGGCTGGGCACGAAGGGCAGGCGTCAGGGCCTGGGGGAGGGGGGACTGCAGAAATTCCCTAGGGGAGACTCCTTGAGGTTAGGACTCAGTGGCCCAATCACCCTTTCCTGCTCAGGAAGGGGCACACAGAAAGATTCCACCCCCTTCCTCCTAGTCACTCATAACACAACTGTGGACAAGTCTACATCTCCATAAGGAAACTGCCCCCCTGGGGGTACATGCGTATGTATACATGAGTTGCCAAGAGGTTACCCCTGTGGTTTTGCTCTGCTTATCCTGGTGTGGAGAGCTGTGTACTGGTGGAAACCTTCCTCAGGTGTCCTGACCCCTCCCTGGCTCCATGGCAGGCCCTCTCTCTGTCCAGCCCTGCCCACAGACTGATCCCTGAAGGAGCTGGCAACCTGGGGGCCAAGCTAAGAGGGGCCCACCAATGGACAGAGCCAGGGGAGCAGGTGCAGGGTGCAGCTCTGGGGAAAAAGGTCCAGGCTTGCAGGAGAGGAGAGGGTAACAGGCAGCAGCATGGGCAGGTGGGTTTCCAGGACAACCAGGAAAGTTACGGGGCCCCTTCTCTGCTCTGGGGTCCCTTTGTCAAGATATTGTCCACTTCTGGGCCGGCCCGGTGGCACACTGCTACAGTGCGCCGCTCCCGCCGAGGGTTCGGATCCCACATACAGACCGGTTCCCGCTCACTGGCTGAGCGAGGTGCGGGCGCAACACCGAGGGTTGTGATCCCGTTGCCGGTCCCGGTCCGGTACGGGCGCGGCACTGAGGGTTGCGATCCGTTGCCGGACACGAAAAAAGACAAAAAGGGGGAAAAAAAAGATATTGTCCACTTCTGCCACATACTCACACCCCACCTCTCCTCGCCCAAGCCAGGCTCACCCCTTCCAACTGAAACTACCATGAAAAGTAAAATATTCCAAGATTCATACCACTGGAGGGGCCCTCCCACCTTCGGGGACTGAGGCATTGATGGTTGAGTACATGCTCAGCTTCACAGGAGTGCCCAGAGAGGGGCTGAGGTGCAGGTGGGGGATGGCATGGAGTGGAGCCCAGGCCCAGAACTTCTGCATTCAGGTTTGTGGGGCAAGGGCCACTGGGGCCAGAGTGATGAGGAAACCCTGAGGAGCAAAGTTGTAGCTGCAGCCTTCACAAGGGGGTCCTTGGCCAGACCCCTGGCATGGGCCCCTTCCAGGGCCTCCCCCTTCTCCCACCTCACCCCAGTGGCCAGTCTCACCCTGCCATGCTTCTGATAATAGGAAAGGGTGGGTGGAAGGCCAGCAGAGGTCAGCCACCACCTTGAGACAGATTTGAGTGTGCAAGAGGCCCTCAACAGGCCTTCCTCCATCCCACTGGCCCATGAGGTGGAGACTCTGAGACCCTGAACTTCAAGGCTGGCCCAGGAGTCCCAATGGGCAGAGTTGGGAGAACTTCCTGTGGGCAGGGGAGACCCCAAGGCCAGCAGGAGGTGTAACCCATTCCTCCTAGCAGCACCACACACAAGTCTCACTGCTCCAAATCTATCCTGATTGAAGCCACATCTAATTTTATGGTCTTTTTGTCCCCTTGACCACACCAGGAATTGACCCGCTGGTCCAACTACATGTAATTGAGGGCCAGGCCCTAGGGTCCAACAGACACCAGATGAGAAGCCCATGTTCCAGTAGGGGAGAGGGATCCTACCAGCAGCTGAACATGCCTATTATAGAGAATGACAGGTACTTAGAAGGAAGGGACGTAATGGGATGGGAAAAGAGGTGAGGAGGGGGCAGCTACTTTCAGGGGTGTGTGGGTGGGGTGCAGGGCTTGAGGATAGGGACAACCCTCTGAGGTGATATTTAAGTGGAAACAGCAGAATGCAAAGGACTCAGCTATGTTGAGTCCTATGGAGAGAGCATTCCAGGCAGAGGAGCCAGCAAAGACCAGATCCCCATAGAGCAGCAAACAGGCTGGGGCAGCAGTGTGGACATAGTGCAGAGGTGGGCTTTGTGTCCCCCCATAGAGGGAATCACTGCAGTTTGGAGCATGGTCGCACTTTAAAGTCACTTGCTGCCTGTGGGGGCTGGGGGAGCCCAGAGGAGAGTTTAGGGCTTCTGAGCCTGGGCTCTGGCTTGCCTCCTCTTTGATTCACGTGACAGGCATTTGCGGGGCCTCTCCAGTGTGCCAGGGCTTTCCAGCATTGGGGCACAGCAGTGGGAAACTCGGGACTGCCCTCGGGGCCTCCACCAGGAATGCGGCCCAGTGGGTGGGGAGCCGTGTGTCACAGGATGGTCCTGGGAGGTGGGGGAGCACCGTCTACCCATCCCTCCCACCGGCCATGACCATCAGTCCCAGAAAGACATGGGCAGCCCTGGGGGTCGTGAAAAGCAGCAGCACGTGGATGAGAAAAGGAGGCCAGACTCAAAGTTCTACCGAACAGTGGCGTGGTTATCATTTTTTCCTTCCAATGTTGCCCAGCCTGGACATTAAAGCAGCTTGAAACCTGGAAGTGCACCCAGTGTAGACAAAAGGGCTCCAGGAGACTCTCTCTGTCCAAGGAGCAGGAAACAAAACTCCTACAAGTCAGAGCTAAGGGAATCCTCCCATTTTTTCCTTTCTTCCCCACCCAACTCCTGGGCAATAACATGAAAGTGGTGTAGTGACAGCAGCCAGGCAGGCACCTGAAACCTGGGGAGGGGAGTTTGACTCTCTGACCAGAGGATTCAGGGCCCTGACTAGCCACTCCTGCTGCTCTCTGCCTCTGCGCTACACCCTGGCGGCAGCTGCAGGAAGTATGCAGCAGGGTCGGGAAACAAAGGCTCCAGATGTCTGGCTGGAGGTCTTGGAAAGGAGAGAACAGAGCAGGGAAGGTTAAGTGAGTGATCCAATAGAGCTACATGTGAACACGTGGAGTCGCTGCCCAGCTGTGCACGTGGGGCCTGACTGTAGATTCATACTACAAGTCCCAGACCAACCAGAGTACACACGAGACTAACATGACTAGTAGTGCAAACACTTTAAACAATCAGCATATTGCTTAGGATTTAAACAAGGTCCAGAGTCTCAACATAATATTCAAAATATCCAGGATATAATCCAAAATGACCCAGTGTACAAAAATCAGGATAATCTCAACATGGAAGAAAAGACAACCAACGGATGTTCACAGCAAGAGGACTGACGTATTGGAATTATCAGATACAAATGTTAAAGCAGCTATTCATAACCAGCCTTCACAGTGTATTGGTGAACACTCTTAAAATGAATGGGAAGATAATAATAATCAACCACATTGTATATTGACAAAATAAAAATTTAAAGGAAAAAAAAATAACTTCATCGAGATATAATTCATGTATCATTAACTTTACTCTTTAAAATGTATAATTTTGTGTTTTTGTATATTCACAAAGTTGTGCAAGCATAGCCACTATTTATGTGCCTTTTGTGTCTGGCCTCTCTCACCTAGCTTGATGTTTTCAAGTGTCAGCCACATTGCAGTATATATGAGAACTTTATTCCTTTCTGTGGGTAAATAATATTTCATTGTTTGTATGAACCCCTTTTGTTTATCCATTCCTCCATTGATGGGCATTTTGTATTGTTCCCACTTTTTGGCTTTTACAAATAATGCAACTGTAATATTCATGAGCAAGTTTTGTGTGGACGCTATTATTATTTCTCTTAAGTATGCACTGAGGAGTGGAATGATGCATCATTTAGTAAAAAAAAAAAAAAAAATGAATGGGAAGATAGAAATTATCAGGTAAGAAACAAGATATAAAGGGTAACAAAATGGAAATTTTAGAACTGAAAAATACAATAACAAAAATTTAAAATCCACTGGATGGGCTCAATAACAGAATGCAAATGACAAAGGATAGGGTCGGCAAACTTGATGACAGTTTGGAAAAAGAAAAACTTACAAACCAAGAGGCTCAGTGAACCACGAACAGGATAAATTGACAAAAACAACAAAAATCCAAGCCTGGACATCATAATGAAATTTCTGAAGATTAAAGAACAAAAAAACCCTAAAATCGGCCAGAGAAAAATGATGCATTTCATTAGGGCACTATTTTCTGAAAAACTGTGGATTTCTCACCAGAAACCATGCCGGCCAGGAGGAAGTAGAACAGTATTTCTGAAGTGTTGAAATAAAAGAATTGTCACCTGAGAATTCTATATCCAGCAAAAATACTCTTTAGGAAGGAAGGTAAAACAAAAACATTCTCAAATGAAAGCAAACTAAGAGAATTCATAACCACAGTACCTGCTGTAAAAAAAAAAAAGTTAAAGCAAGTTCTTCAGACAGAAGGGAAATGATACCAGAGGAAGCTCAGAACATTGGGAATGCAGGAAAGACAACACAAATGGTAAGAAGCCACATAAATGTGAGACTATTCTTCACTTCTTGAATTCTTTAAAATATATGAGATGGCTGAATTAAAAATAATACTGAAGCTGGGAGGAGGAAAGGAAAAAAATGATACTCTCTGATGGGGGCTTCAGTGTATGTGGATGTAACACAACTACAACATGAAGGGAGAAGGCAAAGGGATCTACACGTGGTAAGGTTTCTACACTCCACTTGAGGTGATAAAATATTACTTCTAAGTAGACTGTGAAAAGTTAAGTATATTATAGTCCTTAGAACAACCACTGTGTGTGCACGCACACGTGTGTGTGTGTCTGTGGAGAGAGTGCAATGGAGAGTCAGGAGGAAAAAAGGGCAGGAAAGAAGGAGAAATGAAGAACAGAAAACAACATAATGGTGGACCTAAATCTAAACATTTCAATAGTTGTATTAACATAAACGGTCTCCTCATGCCAACTAAAAGATTATCAGTTTGGATTTCTAAAAACAACCTAATTCTACGTTGTCTTTAAGACACTCACTTTAAATATAATGGGGTGTACATAAGTTATAGTAAAAGGTGACAACTCATTCTATGAGGGCAGTATTACCCTGACACCAAACCTAGACAAAGGCATTACAAGAAAATTACAGACCAGTATCTCTTATGAATATACATACAAAAATCTTCAACAAAATACTAGCAAACATAGCCCAGCAACAACAGAAAAATGAATATATTCCATAAGCGATAGAATTTATGCTAGACATGGAGTCGGGGACCGGACCACCCTCCCACAACCAGGCACAACATGCTAGCACCTTGGAGCCTACCCAGGGACCCAGGGCATGAAGAAGGGGACCGGACCTCTCTCCCACAACCAGGCATACCAAGCCAGCACCTTGGGTCCCACCCAGTGACTCGAGGCATGGAGCCAGGAACCAGATCCTCCTCCCACAACCAGGCACACCAAGCCAGTGCCTCGGGGCCTGCCCACGGACTCGAGGCACGGAGAAGGGGATCAGACCACCCTCCCACAATCAGGCACACCATGCCAGCACCTCGGAGCCCATCCAGGGACCCAGGGCATGGAGAAGAGGACCGGACCTCTCTTCCACAGCCAGGCACACCACACCCACACCTCAGGGCCTGCCCAGGGACCCGAGGCACAGAGAAGAGGACCAGACTTCTCTCCCACAACCAGGCACACTGCGCCAGCACCTTGGGGCCCACCCAGGGACCGGAGGCATGGAGAA